AATCCCTGTTAGGGAAGATGTGACTTCCTGAGGAAAAGGCTGAATTTTTTATTATAGCATTGTGTAAAAACACTGATTTGTCAGGAGTCAGAAATGAGACTTTTTCAGACCTAAGGGCAAGGCTACCTCTAAAGAAGGAAAAGCCTAATTATAATTAAGGGCATTTTCCAACAGACAGAGCTTCAGCGACCAGACCCATTCTCATAGCTCTACTTCAGACACCAACCTGGAGAACTTGAATCAGGACCCTATCTCCCCTACTCAGTTGTAAAGATGTCTGCTGGAGTTATCTTCAGGGAAGTATCAGGGAATATACATACATTTAAATAGTTTTTTTTTTTTTCCAGAAATAATCCCAGAAAAATACAAAGTGCTCTTTACCTGGCCATCTTTCAGCATGGTGTTGACTGCAACAGGAACGCTACATCCACCCTCCTAAAACAGAAAGGAGCTGACACCGAGGTTCCTACTTGACACGTTCAAAGCAGAAGCCTCTGCAAAGTTTGTGTTGCACGCAACTCTAGCTATCGCTCTTCAGTCACTTACACGCTCAATCTGTTTGGCAGTTTGAAGAAAGCGTAGCAGACTTACCATACTGTATTTTCAGTTTAACCATAGCAGAGCCATTTACCCCTGCAGGATGGAAGCAAGCAGAAAAGCAACAACGCCACACATACCAAATGTTTCATAAAGGCTCTCTCAGCAATGCAACATAGCACAGTTTCTCCATCATGCAGGGCAGATACCATATTCAGTATCTCTTGGTCTTTGGCACGGACTTCCACTGCTAAGGCACCCTACAAGAAGAAAATTAAAAGAAAAAAAAAAAATCAATCAGCTTCATCTGCATCTCTGTGTACACTCAGCGTGGTCATGAAACAAAATTCATAGCCTTGGACGAGACTTTCCATTTCACTTGGGGAACAAGGTTTAGATATTTATAAAAATAAGTTAGGAAACCACCAGTTGCAAAAGTATCTTAAAGTAGCTGCTCCAAAGGGAAGAACTTACCTTAGCCAAGTGGTCAAGAGCGTGCTGTCACCCGACATCCTCTTCTGGCCCCAAACCATGCCAGTACCTATTGCACTTGGGATTGTACGTATACAAACCCCTACCCCATTGTCCCTTCACTACAGTACAGGAAAGGTTGGATAAATCTAAACTTGCCAACCGTTTGTCAAGCTACAGGTCAGATGCCGAGTTACTAACAAACCAATTCTTTCCCAAACTGAAAATGAGAACAAAAAACAAACAAACAAAAGAGGACTAGCACAATAACTGACAAATGCGATTTAAAAAAAAAAAAATCACTATTTCAGTCTGATTTTTTTGCAGCTTCCTCTTAAGTGACAATTTCTTTGCTGTTATACCCTTTGGGACACTTTTAAAGGAGGGCTGTCATCACAGACCACCTTTTCCAAACCGTAAGTAACTTGCCTTCTCTTATTTGTCTGCTGGTACCATATCCAGACTGGGGAATATCTGTCTCACATATGCAGAAACACGTGCAGTCACTAGTACATAAGCCTGTCACGTTTTGCAAGTTTGATACCTGTGTTTACTGCATACACACAGCCAGGTGGCCAGCAGGGGCTGGAACACTTCCCACCTAGAAACACGTGCACTTGGAACGTGTGCCAAGCCACATGCTTCAGCTCCACACTGCTGGGGCTAGGACACTGGGGGTAAGGGGTGAGCAGGGTGTCACAGTGCAGAGATACTGCAGTGGCTCTGCCCAGTTAGCCTGGTACAGCTCAGCACCGACTCTGCCAGGGCCTCCCTGATTTTTGCAGAGTCACTCTAGTGTAACTGTCCCCACGCTTTGCCTTCACTAACCATTTTTCCATTACTGATGATGCCTCAGCCCCCAACACACAGGCTAGCAGAGGACTGCCTACTGTCCTTCCCACAGTCTGCACGTACACAGTCTAACAGCCACCCAAAGAGACTGATATAAGTTCTTTGGCAACAAACGTCGGAAGTCTTCGGCTGTCACACAGTTATCTACTCTGACACGTAGTCCTGCTGTTGGCTTTCAATACACATTAAGGCCTCAGACACAGAAGTCGTAACATACCTGTCCAACAGCATACAGACAATCTTCCGGGCTTAGGATCTGGAAGAAAGCAAAATCACACTTAATTCAGGTTGCACTGCTTAGAGTTCAGAAAGTGAGAGCTGAATTCTAGGCTCACCTGTAAAATCAGCTGATTGTGTGCCTGACCATGAAACTATCACCTCCTCCTTCCTATGCCTCAGTGTTTCTACCCCTAACATGAGACAATCTACTTTCCTTCATCTGGACTGTAACAGTTCATTAATTAGTTATCAAAAATATCTTGGCTGCCCACTGCTGTGTTGCTGCACACAAGTATAGTGAAGTGCTGGGAGATTATCAGATTAAACTCCTTCTGCGCCATGGAAAGACGCAACAGGAAATTTGTACTTAAAAAGAAACAAAAATGCCTAAAATGCACCAAACCACAGGCTAATGTGGAAATCCATTCAGCAGGCTGCATGCTCATCTGTGACGGGACTAGCACTAGGCCTGAAAGAGAAGCAGTTAACGGTTCAGAAGAGAACGTTATTTTCTGCTCTGCTGCTCCTTACCTGGCCAATGCGATTCTCCCAGCCCATTCTCTTCAGCCCAGCAGCAGCCAGGATTATGGCACTGAAGTCTTCCTTCTCATCGAGTTTCTTCAAGCGGGTGTTTAAATTCCCTCTCTGCAGAAGTGGTTAAGCAAGTATAGAAACAGCACGCAAACAGTCCTATAACCATTCGCTTGTGTGCATTTACAGAATGCATAGATCCTGACAGCCTACATCAGTCAGGGTACCATCCTGAAAAGTGTTAAACATGGACAATTGTTCCACTGTCTTTAACAGATTTTTCCTCAGTGTTAGGAATTTTCAGGAATATTCATTCAAGCACTGACTCTCGAAAGATACCCACGCCATTTAAGAAGGTGCATTGTTGGCACCTGACACCAACTCATTTTGCAAATCAAGGAACTGCGTTACTAGGACTGAGATAACACTGCCTTTTACTACTAGTTCAGTGGCTCAAGTCACCTACACCGTTTTGGGGACCGAACAGCAGTTGGCCACCACTGTGACCAACACATGGTAGGCATCTGTCAAGCAGCTTTTAGAACATTTCTTATTGTGAAATGCTTCTACTTCTTCAAAGTTAGAATAAGGCCGAGCCCTTTCTTTACAGTTTCAGGAGGAAGAACAGGATTGAAAGGGCTATAGAACAATTATACACCCCTCTCAATATGTTAGGAGGAGGCAGCCTTTTGGGGAAGGGGTTTATTCTTGTACGTCAGGCAATGAGAATCAGCCTTGAGTCCAGATTTAGCGTTACAGTGAGTTCTGTTTTCCTTTTTGCAGCCTTATATGGCTCCCACGTTTTGCCAGGAAAGGATACGATATCCCTGAATTCTAACTGAGGAAACTTCTTTCTGAGCTGGGCTGCTCGCCGAAGTGAACTGGTTCCAATCACGCTGTTGGGAAAATGAAATCAGTGAAATCCGGAATACTCCTAACTTACCTCCAGCCAAAGATACGTCAGAAGTTTCAAGGAACCATAGAGTAAGTTCTTTAAAAATTCTTAATGGAAGTGTAGATCTTGAGAACCTGCCTAAAATTTATGTTTTCTTGCCAGAAGGGAAAACTATTTGGTGAGGTTTAGTACAAAGTCTGACTGAAACTAGAAGGCCATTCCTAAGGGACCGATTTACAGGAGATGCTTCTGGAAGGCAGCTGTTAACCACCAGCAAGGATTGATGGAACTTCATTTTAAAGAGCATGACCACCTCCAACCAAGTCACCTCCACTGGCGATGCATGAAGAAAGTTGTCACAGAGAACAAACTCGGCTGTCCCCAACTGAGGCAGACATAGCCAGCCAATCTAAATGACATAAGATGAAGGGACTTCATAAGTGACAGAACTGCAGTGAGAGGAGAGCCTTTGGAAACAACAATGTGCCAGTCTGGAAAAGCTGCCAGTCTGGACGGAAAGCATTTCCTTTCCAGAGGGGTACGCTATTCATTTTTGTTGCTACCCTGGAACCTAAACCAGATATGATCTGCCAGCTACCCTGTTTGTTGCACAGCAGTGTGGAGCTACATCCGTGACGCTACTACTTTGTTTCTTTAACTTTGATTTTAATACAGAAAAATAAAATCTTTCTAATACAGTTACCTTCATCTGAGTAATTTCACTCAGTGGTCTCAGGCAAAAGAATCCAATAACCTCTTTATAGAGGCACAGAAAACCAGTCAAGTAACTCAAAGCAGAGAAACTGCTCGTCTCACAGAGAACCACAGGGAGCGGAGGCCAAACAACCAATGAAGAAATCAGAATTGGCTGGGTGAGAACAACAAGAGCATGGTTCAGGCCGGTACAAACTAAATGATGCACTGGACACACTGTCTAGACGGTGTGCATTCCCCTGCAGTGAGCACTGTACAAAGGGTGAGGAATTCACTCTGGAGGCCACGATAAGAAAGGGTCTAACAATCTCAAGGATGGCTGGAGAGATCCAACCTCACTCAATTAGGCTACAGCACGCCCACAAGACAGCGTTGCTCTTTTCAGCAAATGGGTTCAGCATAACGTATATGAAAAGCTAATTTAAGGCAACATAAAACCACTACAGAAAAAAAGCAAGGAATACATCAACGTGTCACTGGGAAATATCAAGAAACCCCTTCTTTCCATTTCTACACCTTACTGTCTTCCCCTTCTCTCTCCTTACCTCTTTTCAGGAAGGAGGCCGAGTGTTTTCCCAGAGTTTTTGGGATGAAAGACAACAGCATCATGTGGGTTTTCCCTTCTGCAAAACAAAGCAAGAGCAGAATAACCGAGACATCCTATAACAGAAGGCTGTTAAAACTTCAACAGCTCTTTTCTCAGTCCTCACAGAAACTGCCTCCAGCTCCAAAATGCCCCTTCATCCTTATAAAAGCAAGGATTTCCAGCAAGCCTGCTGGCCACAGAATTCTACGATAGCTATAGCTCTTCCCCCAACTCAGAGAATAATCGGGGGGGGGGGGGGGGGGGCGTTTTGCTTTCATTTTTTACCAGGGGGGGGGGGACAGGACAAACTTGCAACAGCCAGGCATAACCTGCTGACATGCTTAATCCTTACCTGGAAGACCTCACTGAAGGATAAGGGAAAACAGTATCTCCTGTGGACCTTGCGCATGCCCACAGGCTCACGCTCCCTCCCTTTCCCATTTTGGCTATTCCCCAGTCAGGCAGAACGGCAACAAGCACTGTTACAAAGTGACCTACATGGACACCAATCACCACGTGGCATGGGAATCCAGAAGACATTCTATTAAAATGGCTTTTAATTGTTACTACAACAAAGCAGATTCCAGCTAGTGGCCTAAATGAGAGAGAGGTCTTACAGGTCTGCCAAGCCTTGCGCAAACAAGCCCTTCAGCCACAACTGCTCCATTGCTCCCTCCAGCTTTTGAGGAGCGGAGCCGCCCAACATGCCATCTTTGTAATAGCGCAAGTGTGGCAGTGAAGAGAAAGGAAGTAACTAACAGGACTAACTGCGTAGTCAATTTTCCTTCTAAGAGCCAGGCCTGGCAGACCTGGGTTGTTCTGTTTGTTTTGTGGGGCTTTTTTTGTTTCCGTTTTTTCCTAAGCAGAACCTAATCTGCCCTTGCTTTTCTACCCACACTTTAAAATGCAGGTCTCTCAGAGAATCAAGCCTTGGGCCCACACTTACTTGCAGATAGCACCAATGGTAAAGCCAGGAGGGAGAGATGTTGGCAGGTCCTTCAAGGAGTGAACCACCAGGTCAACTCTAAAAATTACAGGACAGTAATCAGAGTACTGAAGAGATGGTCGGGCCCCTGAGGTACTTACCAGAGCCCTGCAGGTAATCTACAGAGAACTGAGAATCCACACGGGGAATTAATTTGGAAAAGAGGGAGGAATTTCAGAATTCTACAGCCAGAATTACTAGAGAATGACAGTGTAACATCAGAAAGGTCACTTCACCTTTCTCTCTGCCTCTTCCCCCTTCCCTCTCCCCCCCCCCGCCCGGTAAATTTAGGGTAATGCCTTCCTCCCAGCAGTGCTGCAAGATACATTGCAACAATCACGTTGATTCCAGGGAAGATGCTGGAGAAGCGCGCATGGAGAAATTCATTGAAGCAGTATGCAACCAGTATGTTCGCTGGTATGACACTTCACAATGAAAATAACTGCTATCCAAAGTACAAGCCATCTGCCTCGTTAGAAGGACAACAAACAAAACTGTACATGAATGAGCCTACAGAACTTTTTTTTAACAATTTCCAGTAAAGTCAGTGATCACATGCCTGTGTGTCAGAGAAGCAGAAGAAAGCGTTTGTTTTTAAACCCACTTTAACCAAGCCATAAGCACCACAGCAGCTCTTCTCAGGATGTTACAAGAAAAGCGATAGCCTCCTCCTGCTCCAGTACAAGTCTGAACTGAGTTTTCCTGCAGAAAGCAGTTACTGCAAAAAGCAGCAGAACCTCCGATTCTCCAGCATGCTTATCAACAGGTAAAATTACCAGGCCAAGTGTTTTAAAAATAATGTATTTGCAAACAGGAATTAGATTAGATTACATCTACTCTGATGTGCACGTTAACACACACATCACATAGGTGAACCAACCTAACCAGGGCAGACTTTGTGACACGACAGCTCTGCTTCAAAACATACAGCCTAAATCTAGAGCAGAGGGTAAAAAGAGGCAGTGACTTATCCGAAAGGGTCTCTTTCTTAGGTAGCAGAAAAGAAGGAAACTAGATCACATGCGCAGCAAGCCCAGGATGTCCAAAGAGCACCACGAATGCCAGACAACAAAGGGAAAGCATTGAGCTCTTACTCATTTCTTTCGAGTGCGTTTTCCAGCTCTTTGGTGAAGAGGCTCTTCTCCCCAATCTAAACACGAACAGAGGAACGTGAAGCACAATAGAAAATTTGCAAATATACCATCACAAGCAATTACTCTGCATTTAGGGGGAAAAAAAAGAGATCCTTTACCTTGGAAAGCGCTGTATCCAAGATCTTGTCTCCTGTTGTTGACATGGCAACTGTTCAGAGAGAGAGCGCACAGGCAAAATGTAAGGCATGGTCAGAGCACGTAGGCCTGGACTAGAAGTTTCTATGTAACACACGATACGTGGTAACACAGCATTACACACTGCTGTGTGAACAGAGACTCAGGATAAATATGAGAGCAGTTCACTTCTAGGAATGCATTGCACTGAACACAAGCAAAAACGAGACTTCTTTCGAAGAGTAGGCTCAGTAGAAATTGTCCGGGTCTTTCTCTGGAGCGTTGGCAGATACTCAGCAGCTCTCTTCAGTGCAAGACTGGGCTCCCAGCTCTTCCTGTGCTGATGGGCATCACAAGCCCCAGACAACAAAGCATCCTTAGCGCATACACTGAAGTCCAGGGTGCAGCTAGATTGATGTCAAGTCCTCGAAAGGGAGCAATGTAATGCCATCTGCCTTATGTACTCAGATCCTCAACTGCCAGTAGTTTTTGAAGACCATCTTTCTTCCTTGGAAGATAGCAGCAGCAGTTGCTCAACCGCACAACCTAACTGAGCTCAGACCGGACTCCTAGATAGGTGGGGCCTAATTCTCCTCCTCTTGACAGCGCTCTACACTCACATCTTGCACACAAAGATAACCAGCTGGCTCCTGCTGCTATCTACCCCAGAGCAACATCCAAAAAACTTACCAATCTCATAGTGAAGGTCAGGATGTAGCTCACGGAGCATCTCAACTACGCTGTCAGTCTGAATCCGGGCCAACTGCAACAACACAGAAAGCAAAGTTCCATACAAAGAGTGCATCACTGATACAGCAGCTAGAGAGGCCTTTGCCCTGTGATAGTCACTCATAACCGTGACATCTGCTAAAACATAAGCATTAAAAACAAGCAGCATCAGGCAAAATAGCTCGCACGTACAAACCGTTTGAAGCTGTACTATGACCAGAGCACTCCACACGAGTACTACCCCACGTACTAAGCAGGGAAAAACCTCTCTCCCTGTCCAACACTGCTGTGATCAAAGCACTGACAAGGCACAGCAAAGAGAATTTATTCAGCTAAAAACGGTGACCAGAGCAAACAACTGCGTGTCTGGATTTGCACACTCTACTTTCAGCTGCGCCAATTAATTCAGTAGCTGTCCTCCAGTCAGACGTTCTTCTTCTGTATACCGCCTCAGCATCTTTATGCGTGGACAGCACTTACCTACCTAACTTTAGGCCACCCTGTTCCATCTCTGTGGAAGGCCACTACTGAAAGAACAACGCTAAAGACACGTCATTATTTTATTACTTTCAAAATTAAAGCAGATCAAAACTTACGCTCTAAGACGTAAGCGTGCAAGTAGCAGAAAGGCAAACAGAACCATCCTGCTGTGGCTCACTGACAAAAGAACAAGCCATATCATGCGCTGAGTACTATATGCTTTTCCTAGGAGCATGAATTTTGCAATGCTGCAAGTGTCGTAAAGTCGGTAGGATTTTACTTTGCCTGTAGAAAGCCTCTACTGCAGGCAAATATGAGGTACTCATGCTGTATGAGATCAGAGCCCTATTTAGAGGTTCTATGGGCAAAAAAGAAGTAACAACAGCTCAGGTGTGCACACAGAGCAAGCAGCAGGTCTTAAAGCAGTAAAATACAGGAGAAACTTCCCTTGTGCAATAGCAGCAGAAGCAAGTAACATAAAAACAGCATGACGCTAGCAGAGAAACTCTGCACGAATGTAAGCAGCCCTAGAGTCAAGCAACCGCAGCTGCACAGAGAACGGGTGTTTCAGTCTCTGCTGTGATGAGCTATGTAGCGAAGGGCAAATAACTTTGCTCTCAGGACTGCAGCTGCCCTAACATACAAAATGAGTGTAAGTAGTTGTTTCCCTTTGTAAAGGGCCACAAAGGCCTGAGGTCGGAAAGAGAGATAGCACGCGTGCAAGGCTACGTCCCTTGCCCTTGCCCTGAACTCCACGTATAACACCTTCTCAGCTTCTCCGAAAATTCTTCGTAGAACTTGCTACCAGGGTGAATGAGTTTATCTCGGAACAAAAGCCTGGGGGACACTTATCTCCCTTTACAAGTCTGCTCCTCCCTGCTGCAGCTGGACGGCAAAAGATACCCCCTCTATCTCTGGACACCTTCCTTCCCAGACCTTTGTGAGAGGCGAAGCAGCTTGCCTTTTCTTCTCCTGCCTGCCTTTAAGAGCTGCAGGTCTTAGAAGGTGCTGTATTAGAAGGTGCACAGCACGATTCTTGCTGCCAGAGAACATCCAGTAGCACCCGTACCCTCGGTCCTCGAGGAACTGCAGGAAGGCAGCCCGCCCGGAGCCGAGCGCTGCCTGGCTGCCGGAGCTCGCTCCAGGGTCCCGCTAAAGGAACCGAGCGGCGCGGACCCCACCT